CCACTTTTGATGGGAACCCAGAAGAACTTGCTTTCTTTACAGTGAGGGTACAAAAGTTCATGACCCAACATGGACACTTGTTCCTAGATGACAGCGGGTGAATCGATGTGATCGCGTCCAGACTGAAAGGGGCTGCAGCGACATGGTATGTGGGACTACATACTAGCCGGGGCCCTGAACTGTTTAACTTGAGGGCTTTCATGTGGGCGCTGCGAACCCGTTTTGAGGATGTAAATGCGGAGAACCGGGCAAAAGCCTTTTTGCGCACGTTCAAGCAAGGTCGATGCTCAGTAAGGGACTATACTGCAGAGTTCCAGAATCAAGCCGCAAAATTGTGCGATTGGCCGGACAAGGTCTTGGTGGAAATGTACAGAGTGGGTCTGAATGCGGAAATCAGAGAGACTGTGTTACGTTCCGTTGACCCAAATTCCTTGATGGTGTGGGCTCAAGAAGCGGAGAATGTGGAGAGCCGCCTTCAAACCATCCGGCTTGACATGGCAGCCAGCGGAGGGAGAGGGACCCCAAACCCAACCCCAAAGCAGAAACCGGCACGCCTGTCGGACGCGGCTAGAGAACTGAGGATGAAGATGGGACTCTGCCTGAAATGCGGGGAAAGGGGCCATTTCACCGCGGACTGCGGAACCAGTCAACGAAAAGACAAGCCTCCGACTTCGACCCTGAAAGGGAAACCAACTACCCAACCGAAAAAGGGAAGTGCCAAACCCAAATTTTCCATGGCATTGCAAGCCGCGACGGAGAAACCTCTGGAGGATTCGGCTGAATCTGATTCTGAACCGGCGGAAAACGGGGACGTCCTGCTGTAAAGGGCGCACATCAGCAGGACTTAAGTCAGGAGGCGCCTATTGTGGTGAGAGAACCCCCCTCTTTATTTTTTTGTGACTGTCTCGCTGTTAAACCCAATCCTGGGAACACACGTGCGTGTAAAAGCACTGATAGACTCAGGGTGCGGGAGAGACCTGATCAGCCCAAATGTTGTGGCCGGATTGGAAGCGGGCATCAAGAGACTAAAATCCCCAATCATCTTTACACAGATGGATGGGGCCCCCATGGATCCTTGTATCCATGAAACCATGCCACTGCGGGTGGGTACGGGGGAGCATTGAGAGGAAAGGACTTTTGTGGTCACCCCCAAATCGCAGTTTGCTCTCGTGCTAGGAGCCCCATGGCTGTATGCACACGATCCCTATGTACTATGGGAGGAGGGCAGGATTGACTTTGTATCCTCAAAATGCCAAAAGCACCGATGGGAAACAGCTTGGCCCCCCCCCTCACTCCATTTCCCTTGTGCGACATTGAGTGCTGAAGAACTGGCTTCTCTACCCCCTGAATATCATGACTTGGCACAGGTTTTTGGAGAAGAGGAGGCGGACGAGCTGCCTCCCCACCACAAGTCCGATTGCGGCATTGAACTATTGCCAGGTTGTAAACTTCCAAAAGGGAAAATTTACGCCATGGGGCCAGCGGAGAAATTGGAACTGCGAAAGTTCATTGACAAAAACCTTGCTCGAGGTTTCATCCGCCCTGCCTCCTCTCCGTTTGCGGCCCCTGTGCTTTTCAGAAAAAAGAAGGATGGGGGGCTTCGTTTGTGCACAGATTACTGGGGGTTGAACACGGTGTCTACTACTAATGCGTACCCCCTCCCCTTGATTAAAAACTTAGTTGCGGAGGCCACGAAAGGGAAGATCTTCTCGAAACTTGATTTACGTGATGCCTATTTCCGTGTGTGGATCAGAGAGGGCGATGAGGGAAAGACTGCGCTCAACACCCCACTTGGCCAATTTGAATACTTGGTCATGCCCTTCGGGCTTCAAGGGGCTCCTGGGGTCTTCATGAACTTAATTAATTAGGTCTTGCATGAATATTTGTTTAAGGGCGTGCTCATTTACTTGGATGATGTTTTACTGTATTCGCAAGACCTCCCCTCACATGTCAAACTGGTTCAAAAAGTCCTCCAAACGTTGCATAAGCACAGACTCTTTGCCAAGCTTTCTAAATGTGAATTTCACCAAACGCACATAGACTTCTTGGGCTATCGAATTTCGGGAGGGGGGTTGGAAATGGATCCAGGGAAGATCAAGGATGTGATCCCAAAACCCGGAGACAACTCCAAGCGTTCTTAGGATTTTCCAATTTTTATAGATTTTTCATCAAAGGTTTCGCCCAAATCGCCCTTCTCCTCACTGACTTGTTGAAAACTAAAGGGAAAGGTTTTTATGTATCGAGGCCGGGGGCTCCGCTAAAATGGTCGCCTGAGTGTGAGGCGGCGTTTAACAAATTGAAACTCATGTTCACTTCTGAACCGATTTTAGCCCATCCTGATGAGTCTAAGAAGTTCATTGTCCAAACCGATGCGTCGGACGTCGCTATGGGTGCGGCTATTCTGCAAAAGGGTGACGACGGGCAGTTGCACCTTTTAGCTTTTGTGTCTAAAAAGTTTTCTGATGCTGAACGTCACTGGTGTGTGTGGGAGAAGGAAGCAGCGGCGATCCGCCTTGCCCTTTCTACGTGGCGCCATTGGCTCGAAGGGGCCAGGGTCCCGTTTGAAGTATGGACTGATCATAAGAATCTTGATACCCTAAAATCCCCCCGTTCTCTCAACGCCAAACAATTGTGATGGGCTGATTTTTTCTCCAAATTCCAGTTCACTTTACATCATTTTCCCGGGTCTTCCAACTCGCTGGCTGATGCATTGTCCCGCCTCCCGCAACACGATAGCCAGCATGAGATCATTATTGACTCTGTCTTTACTCCCGCCCAGCTTGGGGGGGCTGTTGTGACGAGAGCCCAAGCGCGCAAACTTCCCACGCCAGGCTCGTCTCCTATGTCTCCTCCTCCTTCCCCTCTGGCACTCAATTGGGGGGGCCGCTACCGTGCGGAATTCTCTACGGAGGATGAGGAGGTCCTTGCTAATTTACAGAACTACGTCCGCAGCCCTGATGGACTTGTTTATTCTGAAAATCGACTTTATGTACCTGTTTCTCTTCGCAGGGAGGTCCTGCAACTCGCCCACGGATCTAAATTAGCAGGACATTGGGGTTTTGTGAAATCCCTTCAACTGCTGCGATGTCAATTTTGGTGGCCTCACATGCGCAAGGATCTGCTAGACTTTGTTCGCACCTGTCAAACTTGCGCATTATCTAAACCGCGGGGGGGAGGGAAGACGCCTGGTCTCCTTGAACCCCACCCCACTCCTAACAGACCGTGGGAGGTAATCTCTATGGACTTTATCACTGATTTACCTTCTAGTAATGGGAAAACTGTAATTTGGGTAGTGGCTGACTTGTTTTCCAAGCAAAGCCATTTTGTTCCCCTTCCCTCCCTCCCAACGGCTTGTAAGCTGGCTAGGCTGTTTCTACACCACATTGTGCGCCTTCATCTTTTGCCATGGAAGGTGATATCCGACCGGGGCACACAATTTGTTTCTAAGTTCTGGAGGGAATTAATGAAAATTATGGGGGTGGAACAAGGTTTAAGCAGCTCTTACCATCCAGAAACTGACGGTCAGACCGAACGGGTTAATCAAACTCTAGAACAATACTTACGCTGTTTCACAAATTACCAACAAACTGACTGGTGTGACTTACTGCCTTTGGCGGAGTACTGTTATAACAACACTTTACACAGCTCCATTGGAATGTCTCCTTTCAAGGCTGCTTTTGGTTACGATAACCCTCCTTTGCCGTTCCTGGGGGGGGGGTGATCCTCTTCAGCCTACAGATGCTGGTTTATGGTGTAAATCTCTACAGGATGCTTGGCCATTATTATGTTCCACTTTGAATGCTGCCAAAGAGGCATACAAGGTTCAGGCTGATCGAGGACGGGTGGAGGGATGGGACCTCAAGCCTGGTGATTTTGTGTATGTCTCCACTAAGAATATCAAACTCTTGCGTCTTAGTAAAAAACTTGGTTGGAAATATATTGGACCTTTCAAGGTCCGCCGCATTTTGAATGATGTTGCTGTTGATGTTGAACTGCCTAAAAATCTGAGATCTCTCCATTCAGTCTTTCACATGAGTCTTTTGAAGAAGGATACGGGTCACGGTAAATGGCGACCTGCCCGTGACCCACCCTCCTCCTATCATACTTGATGGGGAGGAACATTTTGAAATTGCTGACATCTTGGATTCCAGAATGAAACGTGGTAAGCTTTGGTACCTCATACAGTGGGTGGACTTCGGACCCCAGCACCAAGAATGGGTGGAAGAAGGGGATATTAGGGCCCCTTACATGCTCAGAGAGTTTCACAAAAAGTTCCCGGCAAACCGGGAGGTCTCCCGCCGAATCCGGGAGGGGGTGGTTAATGTGTATTTTTGAGGGGGCAGTATATCAGCTAGCTGCCATTGTATCTGATGTTCCCGGCTCAACACCTCATGTGCCCTCCGCTCAACCCCTCATGTGCCCTTCCCCCCCCTGGTTCCTTTTTGCTTCATTATACTTTCTCTGTGAATTGCGGAACTTGCCAAGGTCAAGCAGCTGGAGGTGGGAGTCGGAGCTTCGCTCGGGTTGTTATGGGTATTTAGCCTGTGAACTGAACCTATGCTGATTGTGTAGAACTGTTATGTTCCCATCAAATGGGCGCGCTTTTGTATGTTCTATTCCCGCCAGCGGGAACTGGGCTCATTGGCCCTACTCTGGTTCAAATGTCTTTATTATGTTGCCCTAATGTAATCGCAGTTATTCCTAACAATGTCCATGTTCCTGTTTGAACCATCGCTTTGAAATAAACCTTGCTTTGATCCTAAACGTGGAGTTATTTCGAATGCCTGGGGATCCAACATTTTGTTAGGAATCCTATTTTTCTCTATCATCCCAAATCTGACGGCTGTCATGAGTGGGACTGAAGGGAAACCACCAACCACGGAGGCAACTCCGATTACATCTGCTCCTTTAGTCATGACGGCCGCTGAAGCACCTGTGACTACATCAAGACTAACTGGAGCCGTTGGGGGAGCGATCCCGCGAGGGGCACATCTTCCATGACGCCTACCCCGTCAAAGTGGGGACCGGGAGATGCGGAACAGTGGGACGACTGGTCTCTGTTTGACTCAAAAGGGACTAAAGAGACTTTTTCTCACAGAGGCAGTGCTCTC